TGGCGTGATCTCGGCTCACCGCAACCTCTGCCTCCTGGGTTCAGGCAATTCTGCCTCAGCCTCCTGAGTAGCTGGGATTACAGGCACGCGCCACCATGCCCAGCTAATTTTTTTTGTATTTTTAGTAGAGACGGGGTTTCACCATGTTGACCAGGATGGTCTCAATCTCTTGACCTTGTGATCCACCCACCTCGCTCGGCCTCCCAAAGTGCTGGGATTACAGGCGTGAGCCACCGCGCCCGGCATTGCTCTGTTCATTTGTTTTCTGTGTTCATATTGGGTAATTTCTATTCTTACAGTTCACTGTTTTCTGTCTCACCTCCATGTTGCTCAGCCCATCCATTGTGGTTATTTTCTTTATTGTATTTTTTTCAGTTATAAATTTTCCATTTATTTTTTCCTTATAGTTTGCTGGTTTTTTTTTTTTACTTAGGCTTCCTGGTTCTTTCTTTTTTTTTTTTTTTTTTTTTTTTTTTTTTTTTTCTGAGACAGTGTCTTGCTCTGTCACCCAGACTGGAGATACGGTGGCACAAGCTCGGCTCACTGCAACCTCTGCTTCCTGTGTTCATGCGATTCTCCTGTCTCAGCCTCCTGAGTAGCTGGGATTATGGGCACACGCCACCATGCCCAACTAATTTTTGTATTTTTTAAGTAGTGATGGGGTTTCACCATGTTGGCCAGGCTGGTCTCAAACTCCTGACCTCAGGTGATCCACCCACCTTGGCCTTCCAAAGTGCTGGGATTACAGGCATGAGCCACCGTGCCCGGCTGAGGCTTCCTACTTCTTTGCCAAGGATATGGTTTCATTTATTTCAGACATGTTCATAGTTGCTCACTGAAGTATTTTTGTCATGGCTGCTTTAAAATCTTGGTGAGATAATTCCAGTATCTTTGTCATCTTAGTGTTGGCCTTTTCATTTAGTTTGAGATCTTCCTGATTATTGAACTGATGTGATTTTTTTATTGAAACCGGGACATTTTCAGATTATGTTGTGAGACTTTGAGTTTTATTTAAACCTTCTATTTTATCTGGCTTTTTTGACACCTCTCAGAGCAGGGAAAGAGGGAGGGGCACTACCACCCTGTTAACACCAGGTGTTAGAATTGGAGTTTCTCTCTCAACCTCCATTGACATATCTGAGGTTTGAGGGAGAGGGAGGCTCCTTGTTACTGCTGGGTATCAGGAGAGTTCAGGCTCCCACATGGTGAGGGTGGCCTTGTACTTAGTGGGCCGTAAGGAAAGGCCTGACTTCACTAGGCTTCCTCTGACACCATCGTGGTATAGGTGTTGGGGTGTTTCATATGTCTTGTGAGAGTGGAAGTGTAGACTCTTCACCTCAGCCTCTGCTGGGGTTAGGAAAGGTGCCCACAGTTTTTTCTATAGGTTTGGCTGAAACAGAAAGGTAATTGTCTAGAAGCGTTTTCTGTCTGGCTAGGCTGCCCTTTCCTAGTTCTTTGCTAGAGAGATCAGGCTTTAACTGGGGTTTTGGATTTTTATGTTGTTGTTGTTGTTGTAGTTTTGGTTGTCTGTATCCATTGGCATTTCTGGGTAGCTGCTGCTTCACTTCCAAAGCTGGGGATTATGAGACAAAAGGAAAACCCGGAAAAACTAAGGAACCTACCACCATGGCTTGCCTTGGGTCTTGAGCTCCCTAGGTGGTTTTACCTTTTGGAGTCTTAGCTTTATTTTATATATAATATCCAGGGATTTTAGTTGTATAAGCAGGAGGAATAGGAAAAAGTATGTCTATTCCATCTTTTCACTTTCTTTTAAAAACACTTTAGTGTGAATATCTTCAAATACCAGTAGTGCATAGAAAATGAATTATTTTTTACTTTGTCTTTTTTACCAACTCATTCACAGTGTCTTATGCTGAGGTTTGGATGCAATTACATGTAGTGAAATTGAAAATTTTATTTTTTCTTTTAATCTTTATTGCAGATTCTGATGCTCACAGTACCACCTCAAGTGCCTCCCCTGCTCAATCTCCTTGTTACAGTAACCAGTCAGATGACGGCTCAGACACAGAGATGGCTTCTGGTTCTAACAGAACACCAGTTTTTTCCTTTTTAGATCTCACATACTGGAAAAGGTAAAAGAAACAGAAAATGTCTCTCAAAAGCAAACCATCTTAATTACAGACAGTGTTTTTCTACTTCCTTAGCAATTAAATGGAGTTTGGCAAACAGCTGGTAACACACATGATTGCAGTGGATTAAGCAGGAATTGAGCAGAGAAGTAGGATTGTGTATGTTCTTCCTATTAAAATTGTTAAAATAAAAATCACATCAAGGTACCTACATTTTCTATTCCTAGATAAATGGAGTAGAAAGACAATATACAGTGGAGAGAATCAGTAAAACTAAGAGTTGGTCCTTCAAAAAAAAAACATGACAGAAAAGTACTAGAGATAAAGTGGATCAGGAAAAGGAGATGGTACACATAAACAATTTTAAGAAAGAGAAAAGAAACTTAGATATAGATAAAGCAGAAATTTAAAAAATAATAGGATATTATAGACAACTTTATGCCAATATATTTGAACATACAGATGAAGGGGGTATAGTACTAGAAAAAACACATCTTGCAAAGCTGTCTCAAGAAAAAGTGAAAAACTGAGATAATCTCATAATAAATTGATTTAGGCCAGGTGTGATTATACCTGTAATCCTAGCATTTTGGGAGGCCAAGGTGAAGGGATTGCTTGAGCCTAGGAGATTAGGGTTGCAGTAAGCTATTGTTGTACCACTGCACTCCAGCCTAGGTGACAAAACAAGACTCTATGTTAAAAAAAAAAGAAAAAGGAGAGTTGATTCAGTGGGCAAAACTCTTCCCTTGACGAAATACCAGGCCACAATAGGCAAGTTGTACTAAACATCGCGGAACAGATGATTGGGGCCCATGCACTTTCTTTTCCAGAGTACAGGTAAAATAGGGCATAGGCCCCAGGCATTTTTAAGGCTGATATAAGTTTGATATCAGAACAATGTATCATCAGCCACTAGTTTTATTCTAGGGATGTAAGATTGGTTTGAACATGAGAAGATCAACTAACGTAATTTGCCACATTGACAGTTTCTTTCTTTCTTTTTTTTTTTTTTTTTTTTTGAGATGGAGTTTCACTCTTGTTGCCCAAGCTGGAGTACAGTGGTGCTATCTCAGCTCACTGCAACCTTCACCTCCCTGGTTCAAGTGATTCTTTGGCCGCAGCCTCTTGAGTAGCTGGGATTACAGGCGTGTGCCACCATGCTCAGCTAAACTTTTGTATTTTTAGTAGAGACAGGGTTTCATTATGTTAGCCAGGCTGGTCTCGAACTCCTGACCTCAGATGATCCACCTGCCTTGGCCTCCCAAAGTGCTGGGATTACAGGCGTGAGCCACCACGCCTGGCCCACACTGATAGTTTCTAAAGGAAGGTGTTGTCATTTTAGTGGCACAGAGAAGGAGTTTGACAAATTTGAACATTCCTTTAATGTTTAAAACAAAGCTTTCTTTTGAGACTAAGTCTCACTCTGTTGCCCAGACTGGAGTGCAGTGGCGCAATCTTGGCTCACTGCAACGTTTGCCTCCCGAGTTCAAACAATTCTCCTGCCTCAGCCTCCTGAGTAGCTGGGATTACAGGTGCGTGCCACCACACCTGGCTAATTTTTTAAAACAAAACTTTTAGCAAAGTAGGAATAGAAGGAAACTTTCTTACTTAGACAACAGATATCTTACAAAAAGTATAGCCTACATAATACATAACTGTGATAAAATGAAAACATTTTCTGTATGATCAGAAACAAATCAAGAGTGTTGACTATCACCATTTCTATTCAGCATTATGTAGAAGGTTCTAGCCAATACAATATTGATAGTAATAGTGGTAGTGGTAGTACCAGTAGCAGTAAACACTTAGAACCATGCCTAGTGTATAGTGTAAGTACTTTATAGATGGTTTAAATTTATGCTTTTTGTTTTGTTTTGTTTTTGTTTGTGGCAACAGGGTCTTGCTCTGTCTCCCAGATAGGAGTAAAGTAGAATGATCTTGGCTCATTGCAACCGCTGCCTCCCAGGTTCAAGTGTTTCTTTTGCCTCAGCCTCCCAAGTAGCTGGGATTACAGGGCCCCCGCCACCACACCCAAGTGATTTTTGTATTTTTAGTAGAGACTGGGTTTCATTATGCTGGCCAGGCTGGTCTTGAACTCCTGACCTTGTGATCCACCCACCTCGGCCTCCCAAAGTGCTGGGATTATAGGCATGAACTACCATGCCTGGTCAGATATATCCATTTATTCTTTTTTTTTAAAAAAATTTAAATTTTTTTTTAAATTTTAAGGTAGAGTTTCACTCTGTAGCCCAGACTGGAGTGCAGTGGTGTTATCTTGGCTCACTGCAACATCCGCCTCCTGGGCTCAAGCGATTCTCCCACTTCAGCCTCCCAAATGGCTGGATCTATAGGCATGCTCCACCATGCCTGGCTAATTTTTATATTTTAGTAGAGGTGGTGTTTTGCCATATTGGCCAGCCTGGTCTTGAACATCTGGCCTCAAGTGATCTGCCTACCTTGACCTCCCAAAGTGCTGGGATTACAGGTTTGAGACACTGCTCCTGGCCTTATTTAATTTTTATAACAATTCTGTGAAGCATTATGTGAAAACAGAGGTACAAAGAGGAAGTAATTTGTTTATGGTTACACAGTAAGTGAGCAGGATTTAAACCTAGGTATTAGAATGATACATTTTGCCATAGTGTTAGGAAATATAAAAGAACCTAGTAGTAAAATATCAAAATGCCTTTGTTGGAGGAGTTATTTGAAAATTATACAATGTTGTAACATTTATGTATTTTTATATATATTTATTTTTTTGAGGCAGAGTCTCGCTCTGTTCCCCAGGCTGGAGTGCAGTGGTGTGACCTTGGCTCACTTCAACCTCTGCCTCCTGGGTTCAAGCTATTCTTCTGTTGCAGCCTCCAGAGTAGCTGGGATTACACGTGTGCACCATCCATCACACCTGGCCAATTTTTGTATTTTTAGTTTCACCATGTTGGCCAGGCTGATCTTGAATTCCTGACCTCAGGTGATCCACCCGCCTTGGTCTCCCAAAGTGCTGGGTGTGAGCCACCATGCCCAGCCATTGAATAACATTTAAAGACACCTAAATAAATTGAGAGGTATAGCATATTCATAGATGTTATTAAACTGACTGTTATGAAGATCATCGCTTCGTAGATTCAGGGTAATTGCAGTCAAAACCCCAACATACTTGTGGAACTTGACATGCTAATTCACAATTTATATAGAAAAGCAAAGGGCCCAAAATAGGTATCTTCAGAAGGAAAAGAAAGATGTGGATAAACTTGCCGTAACAGAAATCAAGACATATTATAAAGCCATGGCAATTGATATAATGTGTTTTTGGACTAGGAGTAGAAAAACCAATGGAATAGTATAGAGAGCCTGGAAACAAATGTGTGTGCGTGTACACACACACACACACACACACACACACACACACACACACACACACAGAAACTTGTTACATGATACATGATGGGGGGTGATTTGTGGGTGAAAATGGTCTGTTCAATAAATGCTGCTAGGATATTATAAACAACATGGTTATTCATGTGGAAAAATTGATTTTGTTTGGTTCCCTATCTCATACCATAGACAAACACCAATTACAGATACATTAAAGTAGAAAATAGAATATGACTTTTGAGTGAGAAAGGATTTTTTATGACAAAGTATTAAGCATTTAAAAAAAACCCTCCAAGTTTGATTACATTTTAATTATGAACTTAAATTCATGAAATAACACCATAAAGACAGTGAAATGATATCCAGCACTTATATCTGACGGAAGATTAGTATCTGGCATATACAAGCAACTCCTACAATGGACGAAAAAGATAAACCAACAGAAAAATGGACACTCTTAGAAAGGAATCACGAAATAACTCATTAAATGATAATGTGTTCAAACTTTTTGAAAATCAAGGACATATAAATTAAAATTTCAATGAGATACCATTTTACACTCACTAGATTGGTAAAAAAACAAAAATAAAATCTATTACCAAATGTTGGAGAGAGGGTATGGAGTGATGAGAACACTGTCAGTTATAGGTGGTAAATAGTTATAACCATGTTGATAAATGGCTGTTTTTGAGTAAAGTTGAAGATGTTTCGATTCCTATATGCCAGCAGTATAAAGTACTAAAAACCTGAAGGATGTATCTGCTAATGTGTACATTAAAATAAGAGTAGATAAATAAAACTGTGTTACATATTCACAGGATAGACTATTACACATAAGTTAAAATGAAATAAAGCTCTACAATAATATGTATGGATCTCAATTAATATTGACCAAAACGTTGACATTGCAGAATATATTGTGATTCTGTGTGTGTGTGTGTGTGTGTGTGTGTGTGTGTAATGGATAACTGTGCAGTTTGATTAGAGATGCCAACATACGGTGAAACCAAGAAGTAGAAAGAAAAGGGAATGATAAACGTAAAATTAAGCGGGGAGAGGATGAGATGAGGTGAAATAGAACTGAGGAGGGGCCTGGAGGGCGCTTCATAGGAAATGATCTTTTTTCCTTAGAGTATGTGGTGTGTCATTTTTGATATCTTTGCTAACACACACACTTCTTTTTGTTTTTTGTTTTTTTTTTGAGACAGAGTTTTGCTCTGTCATCCAGGCTTGAGTGTAGTGGTGTGACTTCAGCTTACTGCAACCTCTGCCTCCTTGGTTCAAGTGATTCTCCTGCCTTAGTCTCCCAAGTAGCTGGGAGACTACAGGCTCATACCACCACGCCTAGCTAATTTTTGCATTTTTGGAAGAGGTGGGGTTTCACTGTGTTTGCCAGGCTGGTCTCGAACTCCTGACCTCGTTATCCACCTGCCTTGGCCTTCCAAAGTGATGGGATTACAGGCGTGAGCTATCATACCCAGCCCACACACATACTTTTATCTACCCAGTATTTAATTAAAAATTACTGCTTAAGCACTTAGGAGTTGATAAAGAAAAAAAATTCTAGCTGCATCAGCTTGTTTATAGTGGCTGTTGTTTTTTTTAAGAGTTGGTGATTTTGGAGGAAATAGTTAACAACATGAGGGGCAGCCTTTGAAACTGACTGCTGTCTCTCAAAATGCCATCTTCAATATTTAAGAAGATTCCAATGTAGCCTTTAAGGGACCTGGGTAATTCCTCTTTCCTAGCTAATTGGTGTTACTCTAGGAGCACTTTCACTTAGAATGTGCAAGATTATAGAAGCATAATTGTTTGGTTATATTGGACTGGTTATAATCGTAGATTTCTTTTGTATTCCTGTTTTTCTTCCTCATTGATGTATCTTCTCCATTTTTTCTTTTAGACAGAAGATATGTTGTGGGATCATCTATAAAGGCCGTTTTGGGGAAGTCCTCATTGACACACATCTCTTCAAGCCTTGCTGCAGCAATAAGAAAGCAGCTGCTGAGAAGCCAGAGGAGCAAGGGCCAGAGCCTCTGCCCATCTCCACTCAGGGGTGGTGACTGAGGTTTTTATGTGGAAGGGGTATAGAAAAACCATCTAAATTTTGAAAAGACCACAAAGCAACAAACTGACCCTCTTTTTTTTCCCACCCTCGAGACGGAGTTTTGTTCTTGTTGCCCAGGCTGGAGTGCAGTGGCATGATCTTGGCTCACTGCAACCTCTGCCTCCCGGGTTCAAGTGATTCTCCTGCCTCAGCCTCCCGAATAGCTGGGTTTACAGGTGTCCGCCACCACACTCAGCTAATTTTTATATTTTTAGTAGAGATGGGGTTTCACCACATTGGCCAGGCTGGTCTTGAATGACCTTCTTATTTGTAACTTGGATACCTGCTATTCTGCCAAAAGACAACTTCTAGAGTAGTTTTGAATGGGTTGATTTTCTCCAGTCCTACAAACTCTGAAGCCAGTGTCTAGCTTACTAAGAAAAGAGTTGTACATAATATTTAAGATGCTGAGTATTTCATAGGAAAGCTGAATGCTGCTGTAAAGTGCTCTTTAAGTCTTTTTTTTTAAATCCCCTTCTAATGAATGAAACTAGGGGAATTTCAGGGGACAGAGATGGGATTTGTTGTATGATAAACTGTATGTAGTTTTTAGTCTTTCTGTATTGAGAAGCAGTGGTTGGGGCATTTTTTTTCAGATGGTTGGCTACACTTGTTTTCCCTCATGATAATAAATTTGTCATAACTCAGTAACATGGACTTTGCCCTTAGAGGTAGTTGTTAATAATTTTGAAATATTAAGGCCTTGCCAAGGTTCTGAAGATTCAAACCTGTACTACTGATTATTAAGCAGGACAGACTGAGCTTACTGTTGGCAAATATCTTGGAGGAGAAAGTAATTTCTAAATATACAGAGAGGTAACTTGACTATATATGTTACGTCCTGTGCTACCTCCCTTCTTATTAATATTTGATAAATATTTTAATTTATGTAAAACTTCTAAAGCAGAATTAAAGCACCTCTTGGGGAAATGGCAAGTCTTTAGGACAGGTGAGGCCCTGTATGAATAGTACCAAAGCATTACCGTATGGTAGAGAACACACTCTATTAAAAATGGTAAGCTATCTGAAAAATAAAATGTGCGGGTCTTCAGGATGGCACAAAACAGGTTAATGCTTCTTGGGGCACATTTCTTAGAGGGCTTGCTGAGTGTGTAAATATAATCGACTTTTGTTTGTGTTACATGACTTTGATGACTTCACTGAAAATCTGCACAATTCAGTTTTAGCTCTGGATTACTTCAGTTGACCTTTGTGAAGGTTTTTTTTTTTATCTGTGTAGAGTGGGTGTTTGACTTGTTTTAGCCTATTAGGTTTTTATTTTCTTTCACCCTGTATTAATAGTAAAATTTACTAAAAGAAAAGAGGTTTGTGTTCATGTTAAGTGGGTTGGTTTTGGTTTGGCTTCTTTTAGTTAGGTTTTCTGAACATTGAGATATCCTGAACTTAGAGCTCTTCAATCCTAAGATCCTTATGAAAAGCTTCTCACTGGAACCCAAACCAGAGTACTCTTACTGCCTCTTTTCTAAATGTTCAGGAAGAAGCATCACCAGTTTAGTCTTTTCATAATGAGGGAGAAGCATTTGCCTGCCTTGTAATAACAAGACTCAGTGCTTATTTTTAAACTGTGTTTTAAAAATTGGATAGTATAATAACAATAAGGAGTAAGCCACCTTTTATAAGCACTGTGTAGTTTTATAGTTCTTAATCTAAACATGTTATATTATCTTCTTTTGGAAAAATCCTACATGCTACAAGCCACCAGATACACAGATTATACAGTGAGTTGGGTCGTCTCTCCCACAGTCTTTGAGGTGAATTACAAAAGTCCAGCCATTATCATCCTCCTGAGCTATTTTGAAATGGTTTTTTTTTTTTTTTTTGTACATTTTGGCTGCAGTATTGGTGGTAGGATATACTATAATATGGATCATCTCTACTTCTGTATTTATTTATTTATTACTAGACCTCAACCACAGTCTTCTTTTTCTCCTTCCACCTCTCTTTGCCTGTAGGATGTACTGTATGTAGTCATGCACTTTGTATTAATATATTAGAAATCTACAGATCTGTTTTGTACTTTTTATACTGTTGGATACTTATAATCAAAACTTTTACTAGGGTATTGAATAAATCTAGTCTTATTAGAAAATAAAAGGGAGCTGTTTTGTGGCTTTGTTTGATAGATCTTCAGTAAGAATAATGTTTCTGGCCTTCACATGTACTCAGTTTAAGTGCTTACTATTAATAACAAGCCATGAAGGGAATAGATTCCTCTTTACTGAGACATAGACTTTAGAATAAAAGACATTTTAACTGATGTGCACAATTATTAATCTAGTAGATAAAATGGACTTAAAAGGAAGAACAAAATGTTCCCAGTAGTTTTTACTGTCTGTGGTGTGGTTTTTTTTTTTTTTTTATTGTCTGTGGGTTTAGTGGGAAGCACCCTTGAGACTTTAGGGAAACTATACAAGTAGGAAGGATGGTGGCATTAGGGGTTGGACCCCGGTCCTCAAGTTCCTGGCTGTGTCCCTTGTTAGTAGTTTGAGTTAAATAATTTATGGGATTATTTACTTCACAGGATTATGAGGAATTCTAAAAGGTGTAATCCATATCAAACTTTTAGAAACCAATTGTTTTATTAAGGGCCAGACTTTTTATACTACTGTTAGTATTTAAATTCACTTTGGAATAGTATGGATGATTTGGCTGCCACCTACTACAGTTATTATGAATTTAACAAGGTAACTAAGGAAATGGACAGTACCTGTATTACCTATAGCTGTGTCCTAAGTTACCACAAAATCAGTGGCATAAAACAAATTAATCTGTTTTTGTCTGAGCATGGTTTAGATAGGTCCTTTAGAATGCTCATGGTCTCATCTGCATTCACACCTGGTGATTTAGGAAGAACTCATTTCAGCCTCACTCGGCTGGCAGAATTCAGTTCTTGCCGCTGTAGGACTGAGTGCCCAGACCTCTCTGGTTGTCAGCTGGAGGACCCCCTCAGTTCCTTGCCAGCTGGGTGCTCCCTGCATGGCCTGGCTGCTGACTAGACCACCAGCATGATTACTGTCACTACCAGCAAGTGTCGAGAGCCAAGCTGCCAACAAGATGGGGTCCTCTCAGGTCCTTCCCCTATCCAGGGGGAGAGGCTCACACAAAGGAATGGACACCAAGAGGTGGGGAGTGGGGCTAATGGGAAGGCACCTAGAATTTGTCTGCCACAGTATTTTTTTTTAGAACCAAATCTCTTTAAATTGGTCCTCTTGCTCTACAGTGCCAATGCTTTCTTCATGTGTAACGAGTAAAAAGAAAAATGACTCTCACAATATGAAAAATCCTGGCTGGGTACTATGGCTCATGCCTTTAATCCCAGCACTTTGGGAGGCCGAGGCGGGTGGATCACTTGAGGTTAGGAGTTTGAGTCCAGCCTGGCCAACATGGTGAAACCCTGTCTTTACTAAAAATGCAAAAATTACCCAGGCATGGTGGCGTGTGCCTGTGGTCCCAGCCACTCGAGGTTGAGGCAGGAGAATCGCTTGAACCCGAGAGGTGGAAGTTGCAGTGAACTGAGATTGTACCACTGCGCTACAGTCTGGGTGACAAAGCAAGACTCCATCTCAAAAAAAAAAAAAAAAAAAAGGAAAAGAAAAAACCTGTGGGGCCAGGCACTTGTACACATTGTTTAAGTTACCCTGCAAAGTAAAAAAAAATCTATTTACAGGTGAGTAAGTGGTGGTGCCAGGAGGTCATGTAACTTGAATGAAAGAATCTGTTTTTCTTTCTTGAAAGCCTTTGTTCTCCAAACTGTCCCATCTTGCTATAGTAATGCTGTCCTAAACCTCATTGGAAATTACTCCCTGGGTCTCTTCTTGCCTCCCTTCTTTCTGAAGGCTGAAAAGAGGGGCAAGTTTAACTCTTGCAGATGGGTTGATCTTTAACTTAATCAAATTTTATTTTTTAAATTTTGGTAATGTTCAAAGTACGTATTATCTGTCCTTCTGTGGAGAAAACTGCTGGAGGATTAGTGAAACGGTACCTTAATCAAGGTAGCTGCTCAGCAGTGAACAATGGAAGGTACCCTGGGAGCCTCTTTATTCAGCGTCTGTAGGACAGTTGCCTAGTGCCCCAGATTTAGCATTGTAGTGCTCAGGCCATCATTTTTGTGTGATGTTCAGTGAACTGGGAAGGGAGGAGAAAGCCAAATTGAATCAAAGATAGATAATTTCACAGGCTTATGTTCTCAGAGAAAGGGATCTGTGGGTTCTGTCTAACAATTTCTCAAGCTGTGGAGTTGGGTTACTCATTGTAGTCATGAGAATGCGTTAGGTATCAAATACCTTACACCCTGGTTAGAAACTGGTGGTTATTGTATATTGACTAGGGGGTCTTGGACAAACTTTGTTGCAAGCTTTAGTGTAAAAGAACTTATTCAGTTTAAAGAGAGGCAAAAGATTTTTTTTGGTCAAAGCCTGCTCTTTGTCCAAAAGGGGAAAATGATTTACTCTGTTTTACAGCATTTATTCTCTACACTTCTATGGCTTACATTTGCTTAACTGTGTCTCCAGGTATTGGCTTTTTGCAAATACACGAGAAAGGTTGTTTTTGCTTATGTTTATATTTAAATCTCAAAAAAAAAACCAAAACTAAAAAATCTCAAATTATTTAGTAAGCTCCTGTTAGAGCTAAAATAGGAAGCTACAATTACACAGTTTTTGTTTTGTTTCCTTTTTGAGACAGAGTCTCACTGTGTAGCCCAGGCTGGAGTACAGTGGTGGCAATCTCAGCTCACTGCAACCTCTGCCTCCTGGGTTCAAGTGATTCTCACACCTCAGCCTCCCAACTAGCTGGGATTACAGGCATGCCTATCACCATGCCGGGCTAATTTTTGTATTTTTGGTAGAGATAGAGTTTTGCCGTGTTTACCAAGGGTGGTCTTGAACTCCTGACATCAAGTGATCTGTGCACCTCAGCCTCCAAAAGTGCTGGAATTACTGGCATGACCCGCCATGCCTGGCCATACTGTTTTTTTTTCCTCAAGTAAGTGTATACTTGGCCTCCAATTACCAATGTTGATCTGTCACTGATGGCTTCTTTGTGGGACATTCTGAAGCATTTGTCTTACTTACCCAGCCTCTCCACAGTACTTAATGCGACTGGCAGTTTCTTTCTTGAAATATTCTTGATTGAAAACACAGTTTCCAGGTTTTCTTGGACCTCAGATGCTCAGTGGCCAAGGCTTCATCTTCAGCCCTCTTCCCAGATTATCTCCATTTCATGGTCCCAGATATCATATAAAATATGCAGACATCTCCCATATCTGTCCCTAGAAATTTTTATCAGTCCTGCTGGCAGAAAATATATGGCTTACTGAAATTAGGTAATTTGAGGAAAGTTTAACAAAGGGACCTTTCACAAAGTTGTATGTGGAGTATAGGGAAACCTCAAGGGAGAGTAGTTTTTGGGACTAGTAACATTGAAGTCCTGTTACGACTCCTGGGTCTGAAGGTTGAGTAGAGGGAGTTGGTCTCTGAGTTCATTTCCTTTGTAAGTGGAGGAAATAATACCAAATGGAGGTGTAGTAAGAGTAAAATGAGGATCATAGAGGGCCTGGCATGTAATAGGTGCACAGTAATAAGCACCTAATGATAAGCTTGTTCCCTCATTTGTTCTTTAATCTTTAGCAATGAAGTCTAATTGGGTATGCTAAGAACGAAAGCTTTTTTGATCTATAGTTATGATGAACACAGGAAAGGTCTTAAACAGTTCACATCAGCAACCACCCCTCTGCCCCCATAAAAAAGCTCAAAGCTTTGTTAGGTTTCAGTGCTTAAAAGAGAATATGTATTCACTACAAGATTATTATGCTTTGGCAGCACATGAATCCCAGGATTGGGAAATTATATAGAGGGCATGAAGTGATGCCAGATATAATTAAGCTGCACAAAAAGTATGTTGAAATCCAGAGGGTGGCCAAGATAAGCTCTCAGGATGATTTTTTAAAGGAATGATTATGTTAGATTCAGTGGGTACATGTGTAGGTTTGTTACATGGGTATATTACATGATGCTGAGGTTTGGGGTGTGAATGATCCCATCACCCAGGTAGTAAGCACAGTACCTAAGAGTTTTTCAACTCATGTCACTCTCCCCCTTTCAGTAGTCCCCAGTGTCTGTTGTTACCATCTTTTTATGTCCATGAGTACCCAAGGTGTAGTTAGTACATGTGATATTTGGTTTTCTGTTACTGCGTTAATTTGTTTCAGGTAGTGGTCTACTCAAGACAGTTTTTGAAGACTAAATTTGGCTATGCTGTAACAGCACTTTGAAACCAGTTCATAAAACATGCTGAAGTAGAGCAACAGAGCTCTTAGCCTCAAGGCCCAAAGCCCCAAGCAGAGTTACTTTAAGCCTGGCCAGTTGCCTGCTTTGGCTCATCTAGACTCCTTGAACAACTCCAAGGGAGCAAGCACCATCAAGTTATAGGTTACAGAAACGGTGCTTCTTTCGCCCAGTTACGCTAGTGCTAAAGACGATGCCATTTGAGTGCACGGTTCCAGGGGTGCTTGTGGCTCCAGCAGCTTGAGGCTGCTTCTTCAGCTCTTTATCAGGCAGATTTTCTTCTTCTTTTTCTCTAATAGAGATAGGGTCTTGCTATATTGGCCAGGCGGTCTCAAACTCCTGGCCTCAGGCAGTGTTTCTGTGTTGGCCTCCCAAAGTGCCGAGAGTACAGATGTGAGCCACCGCTCCTGGTGCAAACAGATTTTCTTTACGACTTTTTTTTTGTTCTTTTCCAAGTAAGCCAGTGATGAGAGATGCAGTAAGCATTATCTTTATGACTGTTTCTAGAGATCTTTGGGATGCGTTTCAATTGTTAAAAGGAAAAAAGTCTGTCATAATGTAGTTAGTTACAAATTTTATTTTCTTCTGAAGAGCCAAAACTATTCGATATATGATTCCCACTAACCTATGAATTATCGAGGAGGCTGCTAGGAAGAACTAGCTAAACCCTTTGCTGCTATTGTGACGAGCAGCTTTTCCATCCTGGCCATGCAGCTTCCCTTATCATGCATTGCCATATGAATGTCCACTAGGTGGTGCTAGTCAAACATCATGCTTAGTGTTGTAGGCACACCTAGTGTAACACTCAAG